ATTTTACACATTAGATCAAAAGGACCTAAGACAAGGATCTCAAAGACTTTTAATCCTCCAGGTTTGGGTAGCGTACGCCACGAGAAGCCAAAATAGAAGCTGATATAACTCGATGCTCTGAATTCTCTCTTTTCTGGACTCGGGCAGTTTTTTAATACTCTTGTTTCTATCATTCTTGCTTCCCTTTTCAGCTCTCCTACATGACCCTGCCCCCCAGTTCCAAATACATCTTACACAACAGAACTCTAGCTCAGACTGCTGATATGTGATTCCTCAAAGATGCCTTATCATTTCCTGCTCCCACATTTTTGTTTTCCTGCCAGACTCTGTCTCTGAAATAACTGTCTACTCAAAATTTATCTTTTGTCTTCAAGACCCAACTCAATTCATTCTCGTTCATACATGTGCTCTGATCACTCTTGATGGAAGAGACCTCGCTTTCTACTAAACCATCATCTAATAGCACTGAGTGTCCCTCAGTTGGCAGGATGCAGATACTTCTATGTTTTAAGGCTAAAAAAGGACTGAACAGAATAATGGTTTTAAATGGCTTCTGATCAGAAGTCCCTTAAGCCACCTCTCCCAGCTCCTTACTCAGCTATCTATGTAACCAGCAAATTCTTACAAATATAGTAAAAATCTAAGGCCAATAGGCAAACTATTATAAGAATTAGGAATTCCTGCAATTTAAAGGCCAAGAGAACTGGACTGAGAAGCTTTAAAAACCACTTTCCCACTAGAAATAGATTAAAATTCTTGGCGTGAATGTAGACGCACCCTTTGCTCCTCCTCAGCTACTTATCTCCTGCTCGGAAACACAGGCGCTCTGTCAGTCACCACTGACAGGCCCCAAGAAGGAAAACCTGGTGGGGGCAGCCAGCCCCCTTATCAGGTAGGTGAGTATTTTATGGGGTGGCCATTATGCTATCCCCCAATCCCTAATACAATGATTCAGAAGAGTTAAAAATAATAACAGGAACTGAAAAGCTTTTTTAGGAACATGCTCAAGAAGGGCAGGTAGTCAATATTAAATTTTGAAGTTGGATGTGGAGGTTAGGGGAGTGTGAATTGAATCAGTTCAGTTCAGTCTCTTAGTCGTGTCCCACTCTCTGCGACCCCATGGACAGCAGCATGCCAGGCTTCCCTGTCAATCATCAGCTCCCAGCGCTTGTTCAAACTCATGTCCATCGAGCCAGTGATGCCATCCAACTGCCTCATCCTCTGTCGTCTCCTTCTCCTTTCAGTTGTAACATAAACATGTACTAGGGATGTGATGTGAAATATGATGACTATTAACACTGGTCTATGGTATATCTGTGGAGAAGGCAATGGTACCCAACTCCGGTCCTCTTGCCTGGAAAATCCCATGGACGGAGGAGCCTGGTAGGCTGCGGTCCATGGGGTCGCGAAGAGTCGGACATGACTGAGCGATTTCACTTTCACTTTTCACTTTCATGCACTGGAGAAGGAAATGGCAACCCACTCCAGTGTTCTTACCTGGAGAATCCCAGGGACGGGGGAGCCTGGTGGGCTGCCGTCTATGGGGTCGCACAGAGTCAGACACGACTGAAGCGACTTAGCAGCAGCAGCATGGTATATTTGAAACCTTTTAAGAGTAGATCCAAGAGTTCCCATCACCAGGAAAAAACATTTTTTGGTGTCTATTCGAAATAATGGATATTAACTAAGCTTATTGTTAATTATTTTATAATATATGTAAGTCAAATCATTATGCAATATGCCTTAAACTTATGTTAATACAATGCTATGTATCAATTGTGTCTCAGTAAAACTGGGGGGAAAAGTCAGATGTGAGGCTAGACATAAAATTAATGATAAATTATTTATTTAATATTGATAAACTTACAGTGAAACTATATTTATGAATCTCTTCAAACAGCATAATAGCTGAAACATATAATGTAAAAATTATTAGAAATATAATGAGAAATAACAAACAATTCTGTGGAAGACTCACATATCTATTTCAGGCTATGAGAAATCCAGTAGGAAAAAAGTAAGAAGAAAATAGATTGGAATAGTATTTTTAATAATATATCAGAATATAATATATAAGGTGATAGATATGTATATATGTACATATATATGATATGTAGACATATTTATCAATATATCCATGGATAGTAGCCAAACCAGCTGCCAGCAAAAGCATGTATGAAATATTTAGAAAAGTTTATTATAGTTTTTGTCTCAAAGAAAACATCAAGAAATTCTAATAATTAGAAATCTAGTTCATCCTGATTTCTATGTACATTTCATGTTCTAGATACTAATAAGGAAAATGAGTGGGCAAACAGCTAAATTACCCTCGAGTTAAAGCAAGAATTAAACTTCAACTACAAACCATTTAGAAATTAATGAAAATGACAGCATTATATATCAAAGCGTAGAATGACACCAAAGCTGCAACTGGAGGCAGATTTGTAAGAGGAAAGAACTGATATATTTTTGTTTAATGAATTTTTTTGTTGTGTGCTCTAATCATTTTCTATTTCTTAAAATTAAGCTCTAACCACTTCAGCGTTTCTTGATGTAGTACTTCATACACGTTAAACACCATTTAAAGGAAGTAATATGCTAGACTGAGCCAGACTTGCCTATGAGTGTCCAGGAGTCTCTGGCAGAGGCATGGGTCAACAGTGGCCTACTGCAGGGTCAGGGGCACTGAATACAATGGTATGACTGAGCGACTGAACTGAACCTGAACTGAACTATCTGCTTGTATTCTCTACTTGGATTCTTTTTGGCTCGTATATGCCAGCTCTTCATTTTCCTGGGACAGTAACCACTTGGCACCAAATCTGATCACCTGACACACACCTCAGTCCCCTTTAAACTTAAAAATTCTTTAAATACACTCTCTGACCTTGACTCTCAGTCAGTTCAGTTGCTCATTCGTGTCTGACTCTTTGTGATCCTGTGGACTGCAGCATGCAAGCCTTCCCTGTCCATCACCGATCCCCAGAGCTTGCTCATACTCATGTCCATCAAGTTGGTGATGCCATCCAACCATCTCATCCTCTGTCGTTCCCTTCTCCTCCTGCCTCAATCTTTCCCAGCATCAGGGTCTTTTCCAAAGAGTCAGTTCTTCACATTAGGAGGCCAAAGTATTGGAGCTTCAGCTTCAGCATCAATCCTTCCAGTAAATATTCAGGATTAATTTCCTTTAGGATTGATTGGTTTGATCTCCTTGCAGTGCAAGGGACTCTCAAGAGTCATCTCCAACACTACTGTTCAAAAGCATCTTCTTCGGTGCTCAGCTTTCTTTATAGTCCAACTCTCACATCCATACATGACTACTGGAAAAACCATAGCTTGGACTAGGCGGACCTTTGTACATGTATTCCCCATCCCTATCCCCCCTCCCACCTCCCTCTCCACCCGATTCCTCTGGGTCTTCCCAGTGCACCAGGCCTGAGCATTTGTCTCATGCATCCAGCCTGGGTGAAGTAAGCCAGAAAGAAAAGACCAATACAGTATACTAACGCATATATATGGAATTTAGAAAGATGGTAATGATAACCCTATGTGTAAAACAGAAAAAGACACAGATGTACAGAACAGAATTTTGGACTCTGTGGGAGAAGGCGAGGGTGGGATGTTTCGAGAGAACAGCATCAAAACATGTATATTATCTAGGGTGAAACAGATACCTGTTACTTCTTGACCTGCATACAGATTTCTCAGGAGGCAGGTAAGGTGGTCTAGTATTTGCATCTCTTTAAGAATTTTCCACAGTTTGTTGTGATCTACACAGTCAAAGGCTTTGGCATAGTCAATAAAGCAGAAGTAGATGTTTTTCTGGAATTTTCTTGCTTTTCCTATGTTCCAACAGATGTTGGCAATTTGATCTCTGGTTCCTCTGCCTTTTCTAAATCCAGCTTGAACATCTGGAAGTTCTCAGTTCACATACTATTGAAGCCTGGCTTAGAGAATTTTGCCAGCATCTGAGATGAGTGCAATTGTGCAGTAGTTTGAAAATTCTTTGGCATTGCCTTTCTTTAGGATTGGAAAGAAAACTGACCTTTCCCAGTCCTGTGGCCACTGTTGAGTTTTCCAAGTTTGCTGGCATATTGAGTGCAGCACTTTAATGTGCTATTTGACCCTCAACACATGCTATTTAATAGTTACTCCTTGATTCCATACACCTAATGTTATTAGTAAGAGGCACTCACACCTTCTGTTTTGGACACAGGGAGCCTTTATATGTTGGAAGAACCACACCTTGCCTCCCAACAAGAGGGAAATCACAGAGAGAGGTTCAATTTTAATTTAGTATAAGGGTCTGTGGTCTTCCTGTTGTAAGTTTATCACAGAATTAAACATATACATATGCAAGTACATACAAATATGCATACATACATATACAAGACATCATATATACATATGTATACAGGATGAAAAAGTTATCTTTTAGGACTTTACCAGAAACTATAAAAAAATACATTTTGAACTTTTAAATTCTATTTCAATGGCAATCACTTGAACTAAAATAAATAGATTGTTTTTCTCCTCTGAGCTTCAGTTTAGTAAAATCATAAGTATAATATATTGATGTCAAAAATATTAGCTAGGGTGGATACAGAATTTTCATACTGGACTGTCAGATATACAGATAAAGTAGGTTTGTGTTACATCTTATTCCTCAATTCAGATGCTGTTTACTTTTCCTGAATTTTTCACTTAATTTATTAGCCATCTTATTCATTTATTAGCCATCTTATTATTTCCATAGCAGCTATATCCCTTAATAAACTATAGTTCATTTTCTCAGTTCAGAGTGGTTTCTCCAACAACAAAACTGTCAGTTTGCTGTAGAGAAACTACAGTAATTGCTATCATCAATTATGGTACCCTAAAAGAAGGTCCTTATTTCTATAATAGTTCTCGCTGAATTATGTGTATATACAAGAAAACAAACATGTGCTGAAAAGAATCCATACAGTGTTTAAACCTAATAGCATTTTCCTCCAATGTAGGCGAGGGTCCAACGTATCTCTTACACTGGACATGAGTAGCTTGGGCAGTGTTGAACCCTTTGTGGCCACACCAACCCCACGGGAGAAGGTAGCCTTGGAGTACCTGCAGTCAGCCAGCCGAATTCTCACACGGTCGCAGCTGAGGGACGTCGTGGCAAGTTCACATTTACTCCAAAGTGAATTCATGGTAAGCATGCTGTTTGTTATTCACTCTTCAGGAGGCATTTTGATATTCTAGCCACTAGAGGCACATTCCAAAATGACACTGTCAGCTCATAGTAGAATGATTACAGTTCTAAAGGTTAAGTGCAAAGATTCCAGGTCCACCCCGCATCTCATCAACTATTGGTGAGTGTTCAAACCAGGATGATACCTAAATTAAGGTAGAGGGTATAGAAGCTGGCCAGGCAAAGAAGCGGCAAGAATGAGCTGACCATTCCAGGATGACAGAGCAGGCTTGCTTGTCACTATTTGGGAAATTAAATTGTTCAATTTGACAGGAGCATTAAAATTAAAATGGGAAGTAACAAAAATTGAGCCTTAGATATAAAACAAATCTAAGACTTCATATGTTACTGAGGGTTTGGATTTATCTTGTGTTTAAAAAAGGTTACTATCCAGTTAGGGAGTTTGGGATCGAGAATACACACTGCTATATTTTAAATGGAGAAGCACAAGGACCTACTGCATAGCACAGGGAACTCTGCTCAATGTTGTGTGGCAGCCTGGATGAGAGGGAGCTTAGGGGAGATTGGATACATGCGCATGTATGGCTGAGTCCCTTTGCTGCCCACCTGAAACTATCACAACATTGTTAATAGGCTATATTCCAATATAAAATAAAAAGCTTTTAAAAATTACTATGGGCAGTAGAGTCTGCATTGGAAAGAGGTATTTTGGAGACTCTAGAGATTATCCTGTGAAGCTATGATTAGTCAAAACTAAAGAAGTAGCAGTGAAAATTGGAAGGGTCTATAGGAGTCTGTAAGAAGTGGCCTTAATGAGGTAAGTCAGCCAAGAAAAAAGGAGGTTAGGAAAGACATCCCCATTTTTAGACCTAGCAACAGGGTGCACATAGTGCCTTTTAATGAAATAAGCAACACAAAAGGAAGACTAAATGTAGGCTAAAAATAATGGTGAGTTTCATTCAGCTAAAAATGATGATGACCTATCATTGTTGCTGGTAATAACTTAATGCATAAAACACATTTTATCCAGAGAGCATGGAGACACATTAGACCTTCTTAGGTCCAACTGTTTCCCAAGGGGAATATCCATTTTATAGAACCACTTGCATCTTAAAGCAGTTGTGCATTTTAAGCATATCCATTGGGTATGATAAATTGAACACTTGAGGGTAAGTCAGGTGTTTGCAACCGCCCTTTCATGAGCCAGCCATAGGTTTGATCTATTACTTCATCAACTATTAAGTGTCCAAAGTAAAATACCAAGCATGTAGTTTTAAAAATTAGACTTTGTAGCATGTCATCTCTTTATGTATGAAAAAAAAATGAAACCTGGGGGGATAAACAAACCAATCAGTGATCATGTAAGTGGCCAAAGGTATGTTTCTTAAACTGCAGATAGTTCAGTGAGGTAAGCCTTTAACATAGACTACTTCCTTGAAAGGGAAGATGAGGCCAACAATGAATACAAGGAGAGAATGCTAGAAGATGATAAATTGTCAGTGTGTGTCAGAAAACAAGAAAGAATGGGAGGAATAAAGCTAATCACGACTTTCCCAAAACAGGCTAACCTGTTTGAAATTACTAAGCATAAACATGTGGTTTATATTGAACAGTCAACAATTTTGCTTACTTTGGTAACTTGAAAATATGAACTTTTAAAATTTAGTTGGAGCAAAGAACAGGAATAAATTATAAATGTCTAAAATAATGCAAGTTTCAGAAATGATGTTTTTAAAGTAAGCTTCTCCTCTCTATGGACCAAGTCTTAAATTCATAGTATAGTCAGGCTTTTCTTGAATTTTCAGATTGCCTGAAAACAAGAACAATTTAAATAAATTTGTAGATAAGTTCTTTCATTTCAATGAATACTAGGCTGTCAAGTTTTATTTTCTTTTGGAGAAAGTGTAGGTAACAAAAATATTATTTTATGTGATCCAGGGATAAAAGATATTTTAATTCACATTTGTCTAAGCAATCCTTTGCAGAATTTTAAGTTAAAGAGCATACCATTTTGTATAATCAGCTTCTTAAATATTTGTTTAGAACCTTTTGAAAACTTTGGCTTATTGTTCCCTTTGTTCCAGTCAGCATCAGATGCTCACCTCTTAGGTCTAACATGTAGAGTGACTCCTGCTCTAAATGTTCCCTTCTTCATCATTTGGCATATTTTCTGACTTAATAAATATATTTGTATTCTTGTTAATTGCTAGAAGACAGTGTCTAAATGCCCTTCACTACAAATATTGCATTTATAACCAGAAATGGACGAGTAAAATTAAAAACCATTTCTTAATACAAAAATGCATCATGTCATTATTACTTAAATCAACAAAAATGCCCTTTATATTTACTATTTGAGGGGAAGTTTTTCATAATCCTAAAAGAGTCACAATTAATGTTAAAACAGAATCTATCATAATAAAAAAAATTTAGTATTAAATCTACACAAAGATTGGAAGAAATCTAAATACACTTTAAAAAAAATTTTCAGCCACCTATTTATAAATTTCCAGCAATTATGTCAGAACAGGATTCTTAAAACCTAACCAAACGTTTCTATGCCTCTTTAAAAACTACATATCAAATAATACTATCTAACACACAAAGCCATTTCTTAGAGTCAGCTTGTCAGGGTGCAGCTGATGTGTTTGGGAAAGGAAGGGGTGGTGGTCTGTTGTTTCATAAATGACTTTGAAGTCCGATAAAGCTCTGGATCAGATGGCCCCCCATGAAGATTTTCTTTGTGGCAGCATTAGTTAGATACAGTATTTTATATCACTTATTTTTGCAGGAAATACCAATGAACTTTGTGGATCCCAAAGAAATTGACATTCCACGTCATGGAACCAAAAATCGCTATAAGACCATTTTGCCAAGTAAGTTTCTTGAATTAACTAGTTTGTGTCGTACCCCTTCCTCAACGTTTCCCATCCTCACAACTTCCATATACACACCAAATTTGGAATTGCAAACACAGCTCAAGACTAATAATCATTCAAGTGGAATTCCCTGGTGGTAGAGTGGTTAGGAGTCAGTGCTTTCATGCTAAGTCCAGGTTCAATCCCTGATCGGGGGACTAAGATCCTGCAAGTGGTATGTCCAAAAGAAGAAAAAAATGAATAACCATTAGAGTGGGCAAAGGTTAATACTTTTATCTTGTATTACTCTTGTTACAATGGTCTGCTCACGATTCCAGTAGACCTATGGTTCTAAACTTTACTGCAGCACACGTTATGGTCAATTAATTTTCACTAAGGGCATCAAATAATTCGGGGGAAAAGAATAATCTTTTCAATAAATGATGCTGAGAAATTGGATAGCCACATGCAAAAAATAAAATAATGCCTCATACAACATACAAAAATTAATTCAAAATAAGATCAAAATGGATATCCTAAATGTAAGAACCAAAACTATAAAACTTTTCACATAAAACAGATGTAAATCCTCATGATCTCGAATTCATCAATAGTTTCTTAGATATGACACCAAAAGTATAAGCAACAAAAGAAAAAAAAATTGAACTTGATCAAAATTTAAAAGTTTTGTGCTTCTAAGTGAGTGAAGTCACTCAGTCATGTACGACTCTTTGCAACCCCATGGACTGTAGCCCACCAGGCTCTTCCATCCATGGGATTCTCCAGGCAAAAATACTGGAGTGGGTTGCCATTTCCTTCTCCAGGGGATCTTCCCAACCCATAAAAAACTAAAAAGATGACACTGACACAAATTGGGAGAAAAATTTATAAATTATACACCTAATAAAGGATTTTGTATCTATAATATATAAAGAACTCTCTTATAACTCAATTACATAAAGACAAATACCTCAATTTTAAAATGAGCAAAGGACTTGAATAGACATTTCTCCATAAAAGATATACAAATAGCCAACAAACATATGAAAAGATGCCTGACACCATTAGGCATCAGAGAAATCAAAACCGTGGTGAGATACCACTTCATATCCACATGATCATAATTTAAAAGAAAGATAGTAGAAAGTGTTGGTAAGGATGTAGAAAAATTGGAAACGTCATACTTTGATGGTAGGGATATAATATGGTACAGCTACTGAAGAACAATCTGGTGATTCCTCAAAAGGTAAAACCTAAAGTTACTATATGATTCAGATATTTTACTCCTAGGTATATATGTAAGAAAAATAAAAACATGTATCCACACAAAAGCTGTACACAAATGTTTGTAACAGTATTACTCATAATAGCTCGAAGGGTAGAATCAACCAAAATATTCATCACCTAATGAATGGATAAATAAAATGTTGTATGTTCACATAATATAGTATTATTCAGCAATAAAAAGCAAGGAGGTACTGATGCATACCACGACATGGATGAACCCTGAACACATTATGCTAAGTGAAAGAAGCCATCACAACCTCATATTGCATGGGGCCATTCATATGAAGTGTCCAGTTAGGCAAATCTGTAGCGATAGAAATGTTGGGAGGCATGAGAAAAGAAAAGGGCATGGAGTTTGTTTGGGGGATAATGAAAATGTTGCCCTTGCTAGAAATATTTATCTCGCATCCTTACAGAAAAGAGTCTATAGGGCTGCCTACAGAGCCAAAGTGCTGGGCTTCATATCCAGCTGGAGCGCTTACTCTATGGCCTTGGGTAAATTCCTTAACTTCATCTGCGAGATAGAAGTAGGAGTATCCACGTCACACGGCTGTTGTAAAGCCCAGGGCTTTGCACGTGATAAAGTGCTCAGTGTCACTCTCATAACTCGGGAAGATATTACTGTTCCTTTCTTACAGAGGAGGAAAACTGAGATTTATAGATATTAAAGAAGCAAGACTCAAACCCAAACACATCTGCCCACATGCCTTTCATCACTGATGGTTGTACAACTCTGTGAATTAAACAAATAAAAATAAAGTCTGTGATGGTACACCTCACACAAGGGGATTGTATGGTATATGAATTATGTCTCCAGAAAATGGTTTTTACAGAAAGACTTCATTATGCATAGTGATCACCCGAGTCCTTGTTAGAAATGTGGCATCCTGTGCTCCCTGCATCCTGTGCATCCCTGGCATCCTGGGATCGTGACAAAACCCATAAATATCTCAGGGCAATAACTCTGGAAAGATAGAGCCACAAAGGTTTGTTTCAATGTATTAACACTGAAATAGTAGAGTTTTCATAATTCAGTTTATTATTTCATTCATAAACCTCCAAATTCTCCATATTTATGCTAATAAGCAAGAATTACTATTAATAGTGTTCATGCGCTTCCCCTTCTGTTGGAGTTGGAAGCACATTGTAATAGTTACTTCACAGTAACATATTTTTAACTGATCTTTATAGTTAAACCTGTTTACCTAAGATACAGTCATTGTTGAAAGATATTTTGTAATAATAATTGGCCGAAGGGGATGAAAGTGCTGTGTGTTACATCTGGTATTCTCTCTCTCAGGCTTTTTCATCTCAAATTTACCAAACACAAGTAAGTAGGGCATAAACATGCATTGCAATTATTATACTTAACCACCTAATCTCAGAAGGATTTGGAAATTATTAGGACTGTTTTAAAGTTCAGCCTTCTCTGTTTCCTGCCCAGATGCTATCAGACAACTGCTTCATCGTCCTGTGTCAGCTTTTCCATTCCCAGAACTGGGTGGGTCACTTGAACCAGGGCACCTGTGCTGACAAATGATGTTGCAAATGACGGATTTTCTGTTGAAAATGTCTGTAGCCTGAATACCCCACCCAACCCCCTGTCATGCAAGATATAATCTAGTAAATATAGCATGGACAAGTCACATCACTGGTTGGAAAATCATCAGAAAAGATGGGAATGAATATGAAAATCTGCTGTTTATGGTTTATTTTAGACTGTATGATGGGATAAGTTTGAAATATTACATAAAATAATTTTTAAATGAATAAGATTTTAAATATTCTAATTGTTTTTATTTTTTAACCTACAATTAACCCTTAAGTTTAAAAGCTTCCAGTTTGTGCATATTAGTGAGACTGTGTAATTTGGAGGATGTTTTGCAGCAGAAATATGGATGGCCAAGAACTAATTAAATTGTAGCTTTTTTTTTTTTCTATCTACAATGTCAGCCTGGCTCTGATCATTCTTAAGTGGCAGATTAAAGTGCTCATGTCAAATTTATATCAAATTATTTTACAATATAAACAAATATTGTGATGAGAATATCTTTGTCTTAAACGCAAGAGCCATGGGAAAAAACTGGTATCAGTGTGAAATTATTTGTACAACAAAGAATTTTTATGTATATTTCTTCCATTCAGTTTATTTATACAACTATAAAACAATATAAATCAAATTTTAAAATCTTAGTTACTCTGGTCATCACTTTTTATTTAAAAGTGTAACGTCTAGTAATGTTCCCTACTTACATTGTGTTTTCTGTTTTATTATATTATGTTCCTAGAACAGAGTAGATATGCAAATCAGTGAACCACTCATTAAGGCAACAAGTTGTATGACTCAAGCACAATATTGGAGTTAGACTTGATTTCCTATCCTGGCGAAAATATTTACAATTTATGGCAGGCTACTTCATCTTTCTGTGCCAGCCTTTCTTTGCCCTTAAAAATAGTAGCAGTCATACTACCCTATACGGCTGTTGAAAGAATTACGTAATCATATGTGAAAATGGCTTGGAAAGTTCCAAGAAACAGTAAGCCCTCAGCGAATGTTAGTTTCTCCTTTCTTTATCTTCCTAGTGAATTCATCATTAATCCCAGAAACAATTCCAGATATTAAGAGCGCTAACTATGGGAACATTTACAGTTTCAGAAACAGAGTACTAAAGAGTCCTGTTTTCACATAATAACCATCACTGCACTGGCAAAATCACCGCTGTCCACAGAAGCTCTGTACAATGAGGGAAAAGTTCTATATCTCCCGTGTGTGCCGAGTGCTCAGTCTTCTGACTCTTCTGTGGCCCCATGGACTGTAGCCCGCCAGGCTCCTCTGTCCATGGGATTCTCCAGGCAAGAAGACTGCAGTGGGTTGCCATTTCCTTCTCCAGGGGATCTTCCTGACCCAGGGATCGAATCTGTGTCTCTTAGGTCTCCTGCATTGGCAGGTGGGCTCTTTACCCCTAGCGCCACCTGGGAAGCCCGTATCTCCCATGAGACAGTCATTAGCTGCATGTGGCAATAAGCACTTGAAGTTTAGTGAGTGCACCCCCACAGAACTGACTTTTTTTAAAGAAAGCAGCTTATTTTTATTTTTTTAAATATTTATTTATTTTATTTGACTGTGCTGTGTCTTAGTTGTGGCACGTGGGACCTTGGGTTGTGACATGCGAGCTCTTTAGTTGCAGGATGTGGGGTCTAGTTCCTTGATCAAGGATAGAACCTGGGCGGCCTGCACTGGGAGCGTGGAGTCTTGGCCGCTGGAGCAGCCGGGGAGTCCCAAGGAACTGACTTTTAAATTTTGCTTTGTTTTAATTAACTTAAATTTACCTACACGTGGCTAGTGGCTACCATATTGGACAAAGCAGGCCTAGATTCTTCTCTCTCTTCCACAACAAATTTGAAGGTGATTCCCAATCACCTTGAAGGTGTGACCAGTCCCTGCCCTTCCTTCCATTTCCCTCTTCTCCTGAATTCATCTCTGAGAACTATCCTCTTCCTCTCATCTCCGCCTTTGTCCATCACTAGCAGTGACATGCTTTTTCCTTATCTAATAGCTTCCTCTCTGACTTCAAACCTTAAACACGTTTCTTCCTGAAGAGGAAATCTTCAGACCAGTATGTGGTGTTCAGTTGCTGTCATGTCCAACTCTTTGCAGCCCCAAGAACTGCAGCACACCAGCCTCCTCCATCATCTGTCTCCTCGAGTTTGCTCAAATTCATGTGCACTGCGTCAGCCCAGTATAACCTTTGACAAAATCTGATATGATTCTAATCAAAATATCAGGATCCAGGTATCATTTTGTCTATTAAATAGAAGATTTAAGATTGTCAGAGGTATTTTAAAGAGATGGAGAAGAGGGCAGACTTTCATGTGTTCTGTACACCAGACCTATGTGTGCATAATACTTTGTAGAGAGGAAAAGAGAAACAAGAAGGAAAGAAGAAGAGAGGGAAGGATGGAGGAAGGAAAAGGATGAAAGGAAGAAGGGAAGAGAAAAAAGAATGAAAGGAAGGAAGCAAAAGAAATAAAAAGAGCAGGAGAGAGGAGCAAATGTGATCAGTGTCCAATGTAACACTGAATTCATGCACTGCATGAATAAAATTATAATAGTAAAGATGAAAACAGTAATACACGATGGCAATAATGACAAAATTCTGTTTTTTATTATTTGGCTTTTTATTAGACTAAACTAGCTTTAAAAAGGCTTCAATTCATTTTCATTTTCTCCTACTCCATTATATATTGTATTGTATTGTATATTGTATTTTTTTAAGTATTTCAAAATCTCTAAATATTTGGAAATACTGTAAATTACCAGTTTTCAACATAAATTTAGTTTAGCTTGACAAGGAACCTGCTTCTAAGCAATTTTGGGGTTGAGTTCCCAGTAAATCATATACATCATAGGCATTATAAAAACTGAAGGAAGTGGGCTTCTTTTCAAGTGTGAGTGGTTTAGACCATTTGGGGAAACTTTTAACAATCAGTGGATACTGAAAAGAAATAGTTTTCTCGTCCCCTTTGCTATGAAAGGAGACAAACCTAGAAGAAAAGCATTCTTTTAACTCTTTCTAATTGAAATTAATTCTGATATTAAACCCACTCTGAGCCACATATCAAGTAGAAATCACGAAAGATATAAAAGTTAATTAAAGACAGCCTTTGTTCTCAAGGGGCTCATAGTAATCCATTGAGGGCAAGCAAGAATCGAAGCACTTAAAATACAAATATTAAATACTAAAATAAAATTCAAGCGGCCTGAGCAAAGAAGGGAATGCCTAATTCTGCCAGGAAGACAAGGAAGGAAGTATCTCTTGAACTGAGCCCTGAAGAATGAGGACGACTTGCCATGTCAGGGAAACAATATGCGCAAAAACAGAGAATCTGCAAGAATGTGGAGTAGTTGGGAGACTGCCCTTGGCCCTTGTGACTAGAGTATGTACTCTATGTACACACGGAAAAGTGATGATAGATACATGCATGCTCAATCATGTCTGACTCTTTGTAGCCCTATGTTGTGTCTGACTTTTGCAACCCCATGGACTGTAGCCCACCAGGCTCCTCTGTCCATGGGATTCTCCAGGCAAGAACACTGGAGTGGGTTGCCCTTCCCTTCTCCAGGGGATCTTCCTGACCCAGGGGTGGAACCTAGGTCTCCTGCATTGCAGGCAGATTCTTTACCATCTGAGCCACCAGGGGAGCCCCATTGACATTCTAAGAAACTTAAAAGAGTAAATCTGGTTAACCTATTCTTTCTTGTTTTCTTCATTAGATCCCCTCAGTAGAGTATGTTTAAGACCAAAAAATGTAACTGATTCATTGAGCACTTACATCAATGCTAATTATATTAGGGTAAGTAAATAAACCTAAATTTCTTTCTGATAAGCATGTCGATTTACTATCTGGAATTGTTGGGGTTTTTTTTTTTTCACCCATCAGAATAGATTAATTTTGATTTAACTTGGTTACTAGAAAGTTTTGTTTTGCTCTCTTGGTCATAATCAATGTTGGTAGGTCTTCCTTTCCTGTGTGTCTGTGGCCACAGTGCTCCCTCTGAGGTGCTCTGGGGAGGACTAAGCTTCACAACCCTCAGTACCGTGTGCTATGCTTGACTTGAGAGAACAACCACAAGAATGGTGGTGCTAGAATCAATGAAGCCTCAAAAGTCTGTGTAGCTTTTGGACCTGCAGAGTTTCTTTGTTTTGAAGATCTTTCACCTAAACTTCCAGTGCAAGGCATGGATTTCAAAGCCAACATTTTTTCTTTTTTTCTCAAACTAGGGCTACAGTGGCAAAGAGAAAGCATTCATCGCCACACAGGGCCCCATGATCAACACCGTGAATGATTTCTGGCAGATGGTTTGGCAGGAGGACAGTCCCGTGATTGTTATGATCACAAAACTCAAGGAAAAAAATGAGGTATGACCTTTTCCCAAGTGCAGAACATTGTATTTTTTCTGTTGCTCTAGAACAGAGATCATTTAAGGAAAATTACCATATACTTCCTAACAAATTTAAGATGTTAAGACATTGAAAGGCTAGGTCAGCTCAGCTTATGCTCCCAAAAAATGGTAATTGATGTCCTATAAATGATAGCTTTCTTTCAGTGAAATCAATATACTTGGCATACACCATTCACATTTGTATCCATATATCTATGTAAGGAAATGAGGGGCCCTGAATCACCACTCTGATTTATAACAGGGAAATAAAAAATTGTCCCTTTACATCATGAGCAATTTTTGAGCACTTCTAAGTGACAGATACTATTTTATTTACTTATGTATTTATTTATGGCTGTGCTGGGTCTTCATTGCTGCGCAAGTTTTTCTCTGGTTGTGGAGAGCGGGGGCTACTCTCTAGATGCGGTTTGCGGGCTTCTCACCGTGGACAGAGGAGCCTGGCGGGCTGCAATCCACAGGATCGCAGAGTCGGACACGACTGAGCTGCTAATACGCACACACACTGTGCTGGCTTCTCTTGCGGTGGAGCGCGGGCTCTAGGGTCCTAAGGCTGCAGTAGCTGCAGCTTGTGGGCTCAAGAGCGCAGACTCAGTAGTCGTGGTACATGGGCTTCCTTGCTTCACACAAGGGGAATCCCCCTGAACCAGGGATTAAATCCACATCACCTACATTTGGCAGGTGAGTTCTTTACCACTTAGCCACCAGGAAAGCCCCAGATACTATTTTAGTTGCTGGCAGTTTATTAGTAAACAAACACAAAGATTCCTGCCCTTGGTAGATTTTAACTTTCTAGTGAGGGGGAGACAGACAAAAAGCAAGAAGCAGAATTTCATAAGAACATAGCATATTCGATGGGATAAATGCTGTAGGAAAAACAGTAGGGTGGGATAAGGGGACTGGGTGTCTGAGCCGTAGGGAGCAGTAGGAGAAGAATAAGCTACAGTGTTATACAGGGGGTGGGGGATACATCTCACTGAGAAAGTGAAATTTGCAGAAAGATTTGAAGTTAACCAAACCAAATGACTTTCTCAATATTTTCATAAAACAAAATCCAAGAAAGAGACAAAATTAGATCCCACTCCATACTAGTAAACTTTTCTAAGGATCTAGCTTATAGAATATGCTTTCTGTATTTTGCATCATAAAAATAAAACTGTGTAATTCCCAAAGAGTGCTATCCTAGGCACTGCCTACATTTCATGACATCCTATTGAGATAATTTACAGTCTGATTTTAGCCAGCATTTCTGTTTGTTTTCTGATCAAAATTACTAAGCCCACATCTCACCCTGACAATAAGAATTTAAGAAAATGGAAATTTCTCTTTCACTCCTTTGGTGAGTTGCAACCACCGACCATAGTATAACCGTGCTGCTAATGCAGAAAACTCGGGTCCACAAACAGCAACTTAAAGTTTCTTTAAAATTTTGTTGTTTTCTTCCATTTTTGCTACAATAGACAAAGAATCTTTTTCTGAAATTTATCCTGGGGAAAAAAAAAGTATATTTTTGGCCAGTAGATGAAGTTATATACTACATTAGCTATATGCTTACTAAATAAATGCATTTCTATGAATCTTACATGAAAGCCTAAAGTGGCATAATATAATAATCCCTAATAGTCTTAGCTATTTCCCCCAATATTAATTTGTCAACATAATAAGCCACTGACAAGTCCTGCACAGTTGTTTAATATCTATGACAATTTATCTTCATGGCAGGAAAAAAATTCTTCAAGTTTTAAAGGTATATTCTCTGTGTATTTATACCCATGTATATATTCATAGAACTTATATAATATAGCAAGCTAGATAATCTGAAAAACCAGTCATACTGAGTGAAATATGAGATGGCATGCATAGCAGAGCTTGGGGGAAAAAGTAAATTCTAGTAGTCAAAAACTGAATAAAATGCATAAAACCAGAGATTTACAGGTTACTTGTGTTTTCATGATAATATAAGAACTGGAGACAAAGCCTTGGGCTTGCAGGAGCCAGGACTTAGAACTGAGACCTTCCATGAAGTGAGCACCTGCAAGGGCTATACATTCAGTGAAAGGGCGAAACACAAAAATAAACCTGCCTACCAAAATAGGATTATAACAGGAAATTAATCTATCAAAGTCTGGCCTTCTCATGGGATTAGTAGGAAGGTACTCCTGAGTATTCAGAATTCAAAAACCAGGAAGCACCAAGTGGTAAGTAATTAATATAAAATAGTAATTTCTAACATATATAAATCATTTATAAACTAGTTTATATTCATTTAATTAAAAAATTAAAAGTAATACTGCATTGGTATGGCACTTTACAAAAACAAAACCTTCAGCCATCTGCACAGCAAACATTACACAGAATTTCAAAGGAAAAAGCCCAGCAAATATAAACTCAGAAGTCAAACTTCTGAGACACACATGTAAATAACCAACATAAGTAAAAAGCAGAAACAACAAATAGTAGAAATAGACCTATGAGAAATTGAAACAATAGAAACTATAAATACAGGCTTTTTTATAATTAAACATACAAAATATAAAATTTAAAAACTTGACAAAAGAACAATTTACTATCAAAAAAAGACTAGGAAGATTTAAAAACAAACCAAAGTGGCCTAGAAATAAATATTATACAGACAATAAAGTGAAAAAACTTCATGAGAAAAGTTGATTGGCAAGCTGGACACGGTTGAATAAATAATTACTGGATTAAAAAGCAGAGCTAAGGAAATTACCTAGAAGATCAATATGACCAAAAATGTGAAATTAAGTTTCAAAGGACAGTATTTAGATGTCCAATATATGTCTAATGGGTATCTTAGAAGAAAAGGGAGAATATAAAAAAAGAAGTAATATTTGGCTAGGTATTTTCCAAAATTGGTAAAAGACTTGATCTCTCACAGTAAATCCTAGATTGGATAAATAAAATAAATCTACAACTAGACACATCTGTGGAATTGAAAAACACTGCAGAGATTGTTTTAACAACCAGAATGACTAACAATTGGCTTCTCAACAGTAACAGCAGAAGCCAAAAATCAGCGGAATAATACCCACAAATGAATGAGAGGAAATCACAGACACCTTAGAACTCACACAAGATTTAGCAATGCTTCCTAGATCTGAATAGACTGAACTACTCCTGCCCACTTTGGTTGGAAGTACCATTTTCTGAATAGATTGTCATGATGTGTTTTCTCAAAGAACATGCATACCTTTATTAATTCTATTTATTTTATTAAAAATAAAATCATGCAAAATTGACATAGAAAAAGCACTGTGATTTATGCAATTACATAAATATAAGGATGTAAATGTTTCGAAACAAGTTTTCTTTCCACTGAAAACATTATTTGTTGCATATTTATTAAGGATTAATACTTGGCTATCCCACAAGGATTGGAGAATAGGTTTAGTAACCGTGTAAGATAATTTTTGTTGTCCTGAGCATTTCATTCCTCAAATGTTATGATATATTTGTTTCCTTAGACAAAAAGACAGAGATATGCCAATGGTGCTTTAACTTGTTCTTAAGTCAGGTTTCATCAGGACAGGACAGAAGAAGCCAAGATTGTTGGTTAGTAAGTAAGAATTCCATAGAAGGTAAGTAGGATGTGACATATTTTAAAGGCCAACAGAGATAATATGAATAATTGGCGAATATGCCAAAGCCCTAACAGACAGTTATATTCTTCCTTTCTGTCCCCAAGATCAAAGTTTGTCATTCTAAGAGAACGGCTGTATGAGATAAATGTGTATTTCAAAGTGACACTGAGTTGGTTAACTGACAGTGCTCAGACATCTCCATTGTGAATGTGAATGTGCAAAGAAATAGACCCCATCTTGTTCTTTCCTTTTCAAGTGCATTAAACCTGAAGCTAACCTGTGGCTTTCCCAGGTGGCACCATTGGTAAAGAACTCACCTGCCAATGCGGGAGATAGACAAGGTTGGATTCCTGGGTCAGGAAGATTCCCTGGGTCGAGAAGATCCCTTGGAGAAGGAAATGGCAACCCACTCCAGTATTCGCAAGGAGAATCTCATGGACAGAGGAGCCTGGTGGGCTACAGTCCATAGGGTCACAAAGAGTCAGGCACAACTGAAGCAACTTAGCACGCAAACCTGTTGGTACCATGCTCAGAGATCTTGTTCTCCAGAGGAGAGTCAAGTAGATCTGTTGAAAGCCAGAATTTTTGAAAAAATAATATCCATATAAAGGATGACTGAGGTTTTTATTTTTCACTTTGGCTGCATAATTCAGAAATTGAAGAGGTATTATTTTTTCTTACCATTTTTAGCCTCCTGCCTTTTTAAATGTCTGAGATATATCTTCTGGAAATATCAAAGTAAATATTGATACATTATGTTACACTTCTGTGTGTAATTTGCTACATGTATTTTCCTGTGGCCAGGCATATTCCAAATATTGCAATAAAGATTTTGACTTCTGTTATTATTGATTGATCATTAAATTAAAATGAAAATTCCTTTCCATCCAGATTCTCTAAAGATGTACAAAGAATACTGTGAAAGAAACTTTGATGTTTTGCAATTCAAAATGATACTGAAAAGTCTGGCTCAAAAGAAATAGGCAGTAGACTTCACACTGCCAGGAAGATGCTGTTTACCAAAAATGTGCCAACTTTCAATTGTGTTAAGCGTCATTGTTCGAAATAGACAAAAATCATTTCCTCAAAAAATATGTGAGGGTGGAGCTATCTTTAGAAATTCCCAGGCTTTGTATTTTCATGAACACTCCTACTTTCTAATAAATAAATAAAAGAAAAAAAGAAGAATTGCCAGCTCTTATTCAATAATCACAATGTTCTCATAGTTACTTTATTAAATAAGAACAGACAAAAAATTTTAAAATAAAGCTGACAAATCAGTTCTCATCTATCGTGAGAAAGGAGAAGCAATTTTTATTGCTGGTAAGTTTGATTTCTTCATTTAGGTAAATCTCAA